CTTGAGCTAGCCATGACAGAGGTTAGAGAAGAGCAGAGGCACAGGAGACTTATTAGGAACGATACCGAGGTGAGAGAGAAGCCAGCATGCATTATGCGTCAATATCTCCCACACGAAGAAAATGTTCAATAACATGATATGGAGTCAATAGGACGCTCATCTCCGCCTGTCCGGCCGCAAAAATTTTTTCCCCCTCTGAGTTCGACCACAGCCAAGCCAGCGCACTCTATTCACAGTCGACTCCTCGAAGCAACAATGTAAAATGAATACACCCGTTCCTAAACCCTAACCCTAACCCTAACACGTACCCAAACCTAACACTAAAATAATCCAACCATATATATAACGAACATATATACAAAAACACTATCTATGGTGGTCCGGAACTCAGTGGAAAAAAATTCGCGGTCCGACCAAGGTCTGTGTCAGAAACAAAATTCTATCATCAGTTTTAACATCAACTTTTCCCCATAGACCGTTGACAGAAACGTGAGAAGTACGAGTTTCCCATACTCGGTGCATACAGGTCCGTCTACGATAAAAAAAACCTGTTAAGACTAATGTTAAGACTAATTTTGTTTCTGACAACGGGTCCATAGCTGGCTTACGAAATCGACAAATAGACATTAGTGTGTTATTGACGTGTCCTTAACCATCCAGGCTGACAAACACCAGTCTTGTTTGCTAGCCTTACTCTAACAGTCGTTGCTAAGATGCGAATTGCTTGGAAATTGATGGCCAGCACGGCGAGTAAACGTACCTAAGTGTAAGGTGACATCTGAATGACCGTATGTGTTGGCGGGCAGGTGCCGAGGAAGAAGACAATGTACCTGTCATTCATATATCGAAGGTGTTAGACAAGGCTCATCCATCGAAACAAACGCCTATAATACTCGCCGACTTGAATGGTTGGTATAGTAGCGCAAGGAAAAGTATAGTAGCGCAAATAAATTATTAACGCAATTAATCTTGCTATATATGTGTGTGCGTGCGCGTGTGTGTATTTATTTATTTATTCCAAAGAATTATACTGAGTTTTATACGCACTATTTTATGTTGTGTCGTGTATGAGTGAGTGCGTGCGTACGTACGTGTATATGTACGCGTGCATGCGTGCGTGTGCGCGTATTCGTATTGGTGTTAACGATGCTGCGTGTATGCGTGCGTGCGTGTACGTACACGCGTGTGTTCGAACTGGCGTTAACAATGCTGCTGTGTGCGTGCGTGCGTGTACGTACCATGTGCGTATTGGTAGTAACTATACTTCTGCCGTGTGCGTGCGTGCGTGCGTGTACGTACGCGCGCGTGTGCATATTGGTATTAACTATACTTCTGCTGTGTGCGTGCGTGCGTGCGTGTACGTACGCGCGCATGTGCGTATTGGTATTAACTATACTTCTGCCGTGTGCGTGCGTGTGCGTGCACGTACCATGTGCGTATTGGTAGTAACTATACTTCTGCCGTGTGCGTGCGTGCGTGCGTGCGTGTACGTACGCGCGCATGTGCGTATTGGTATTAACTATACTTCTGCTGCGTGCGTGCGTGCGTGTACGTACGCGCGCATGTGCATATTGGTAGTAACTATACTTCTGCCGTGTGCGTGCGTGCGCGTGCAGGTGCGGATAGCGAGGACATCCAGGCGCTGGCGCTGGCGCTCACCGCGCTAGAAGAGAACCTCGCTGAATACACGGCCATCCGCAAGGACATGCAACTCATCTTCGACGTCGTCCTCGAACTCAACCTGCGCGACGACCTCGAGAATCTCGTCGACGACGGAGACATGCCGCCGCCGACGACCGGTGCCGACGGCGCGGCCGGCACGAGCGCAAAGGTACCGACGACGTGCGTGCGTGCGTGCGTGCGTGCGTGCGTGCGTGGAGGGTTGAATGATTGCGTGGCAGTATGGCGCTAGCTCGGTAGCTGCACGGCTACCGTCACTAGCAGACGGACTATAAGATATATATGGCTTCATAGTAACGTTCTCAAGTCCTCTTAAGTGAACGAAAAGTCGCCACCTATTGACTAACCTGTGAAACATCGGTCTCGTTTGCTAGCGGTACACGTTAGCGCGATGCCACATATGCAAACGAGAGCGAAGTCTACCAGGATACGACAGGTGCGCGTGTGCAGCACACACAAATGAGAAATTCCCATTTGCGACAAACAACCGTTCTCTATCTTCCAGCCGGCGACCGACTTTAATTTCGAGAACTTCGCCACGAAGGGCGACATCATTTCCAACCTGATGTCGCTGGAGAAACACCGCGGCATCACGTCCGAGAATGCCGACTTGAAGGGTGTGATCAAACAGGCGGCCCTGGCCATCGACGACAAGTCCGTGTGGCTGAACAGGACGAAGAGCTACATACGTAAGAAGAGCCAGGCGAGCCTGACGCGCTTGCAGCAGGCAAGCGCCACGCGCATGATGATGATGATTGCGTGTGTGTTTAGGCCACAATTAAAAAAATATTTGTTTGCCCTCACCCGACCCAGGCTGAAAAGTTTTGGTAGGTGGGTAGGCTTTTTTTTGTGGGGGGTCTTTTTACAAATTCAGTATGGTGTCTACATGCTCGGGTGTGCTTGTGTGGAGATACCTTTTATGTTGAATGTTTGTTTTGCTTAGTACATATAATGTATTGCCTACAGATTTATAAAATGTACATTGATACAATTTGTCAAAAAAAAAGGAAAATATCAATAAATTTTTTTGAGTCGGCCCCTTTTTGGCGGGTCGGTCGGGTGAGGGCAAACAAACAACATTTTTATTATGGCCTTACAGTTCCTTATAATAGATCGTAGACATTACAACTGTTTAAATTGCTATCGGAAATTCCAAACCCACCATAAAATGGCAATCATAAATGTACATGTATATATATCTAGTTAAAGCCGCACTATGCGCATCCAAACGCTAATTTCTCCAGTACTAAACTAGCAAATATTTCGTGTCATGCATAATCACACTACCTTACGGCACAAGAAACTTATAGTTACTTAATAGTTCCTCCCATTTCACTGCGCGTTTGCTTAAAACCCACAAGAAAAAGGTGCGAAATCTGGTAATCTGGCGCCAACGCTAAATTGTTTGCCAAACAATTTCGCCAAGAATCGGTTAGGTGACGTCACATGTTTTCATCTTTGCTACACCCGTACCGCAGCACCGCTGTGCGATTGCTTGGCAGAGCAACGCAAAAGTGTCAACAACATCGGAGAATTTGAACAACATTGGAGGTATTTTCAAATGCCTTTTATAAGACAACGCGCAGTGACATGGGAGGAACTAGAGTTTATTTTGTCATAAGGTAGTGTGATTATGCATGACACAAAGTATTTGCTAGTCTAGTACTGGAGAAATTAGCGTTTGGATGCGCATAGTACGGCTTTAATAAGGTGCATGGAATAACACTGGGGAGTGACCAAACAAAGTCATCTGAAAGTAAAATTTGAATAATAATGGTTTTGAATTATGAATAAATGTATTAAATTATAATGTATGTAACAAAATGTGCACCTACACAGATACTACAAAGGTGATTTAGCCTAACAACACTCCATCATCTATGTCAATATATTCAAATAATGAACTGCATAAAACTCACACAATCAATTCAGGTGGTAGTCATCCCCTTCTCCAAAATATCGTGCCACACACTCTAGACCTACTCTGTTTAAAACTAGTAAAATACTAACGAATTTTGAAACGGTCTTAGTGGTACTACACCGGTAACGGTTACGCTTGGTCCGTGTATGTACACAGGTGACCGAGAGCTGTTTGTGACCTATGTACTCCGCTTAATACACATACAGACCTCTGCTCTATGATAAGACATGGAATGAAAAGTAATCTACACTGTTTAAACAACCGAAATCTATTTAGGCACTTCTAAACACCTGCCAGGCATAGTAATTCTAGTTACTACCAATAATACCAGGGCATCTACGATTTTCACACATGTATGCTGCAGGATTTATCAACATCAATATAAACCAGGGATGTGCATGATTCACATCTAGGGAGATACATGCTGTATTGTGCTTATGTATACTAGGATGTATGCACACTGCACACCTTTCCTATGAACGGATTATGGTCTATACTCTGTTATAATAAGTGTACCTTGTAAATTCCAGTCTTTGTAGACATCACTGTTAACTGTTTTTATATAATAGCAGGGGCAATTTCTCCAATAATTTGCATTTATATATACATATTTAACTTCCAACACTCATAGGGTGTATAAAAATAACTGGCCTATGATATATTGGCAAAACTTAATATTGAAAATGTAAAAGAACGACAAAACACTGTCTGATTGCTGAGAATCACTTAGCTGTATACATGTATTGTCTACGGTTTGTAAATGAGTTAGTTTAAAAAGCCACTTAGGCATAGGGTTGTTGGCAATAGGGTGAAAACATACATGGACCACAGCACAGTGTAAATAACTAAGCTTGTTATACCTTTCGTTTATTTATCTTCGGTAGTTATCTCGCTGTATATATTTTCTTTGCGTACATATTATTTGTAATCAATGCAAAAATACCTAAATAAACCAAAAACACAAATAAACACTCACAACTACAATGCCATCAACTACATGGCAATGAGTGATTACAACTCGCGCGCACGTGAGAGACACACATACATTACAATGCCAATGGACGTACCTAACACTACACTGTACACAATCACAATGCGATAGGTCACACAAATACATTTTCGCGACAGATTGATATTCCCCATTTGTATTGTGAGCATACACTAAGTCGTCCAGTACTCATTTGTATAGATGAAGTGGATTACGCCGTATATTGTAACATCATCACGAGTCTATAGTTTCCCTTATCTCATGGCAGCAGCACTTATAAACACTCAAGATGGCGCCAACCGAGCACAGCACACCCATTCCGAATCTGCGGTATTTTGCGATAATGTTAGCGATCGGGAACTATTTGACACCGTAAGCGTTATTCGTACACATTAACGAGGCTTTCCTTACCTGAGAAAAGGCCGTAACAGGAATCTAACGCAGGCGAGCAGCCTTCAAATCTGCTTGTTCACCGGTGTTTCGCTTTCCTACAACATAGAACCTAATGTCGTTTCTAGAGTGTGGTTCACCGACGATAGTGACGACGGATATCAATGCGCTGTTCACGCCCTGTGTACGCAAAATCTATAAATCATTATATACAAAATATTTCAAACATTAAAGGCTGAAACATTTTTAGCATTACAGTATTATGCATCTTTGTAGTATCACTGTCTTTCATAGCTAGTCCTTTTATCGATGATTCTCCGTGGACTATATTGAGCAACTATCTAACGTAGGCGGTGCGCGGGTCTGCCGGTGTACCTGTGGGAGTGGCGGCACGATGAAAAGCATTGCATGGAAACAGGTTGCTAACCGGCTGGCCGCGGGAAGCATGGAATTTGAACAAGCTATTTCATTCGTATATTAGCATATATGAGTCACCGAATTCTCAGCGTGACGCATATACTACGGCAAAGTTTTTGTCGGTATATATGAAGTCGGCTTATATTTTGCTGTTCCTTTCCAGAATAACGAAATCATGAAACAAGAATATGCGTGCGAGATATATCGTATTATCGTTATATCACGTATCGCTTATGCCGTACGTGAATATGTGCATAGAAAAATATATGCGATATACACATGTTTATGCTTATGAGCATATTGGGAAATGTAAGTTTGTGTAACCTAGACAAACTATGCGACATACAAAACGGCATAACACAAACATAAACATGTAACATACAAAACGTCAGCAGCTTATTGCTCTGCTGTTTCCGCGCTCGTGCTTTCTTCCGTCGTCAAACTGACTGTTATTTTGCCTGCGGGGCCAAAGCCACATACGGGGTTTGCATTCTTAGCTCCGTGTTTGCCGTTGGAATTTCGCCGTTGCCCCTGTAAATGAGTATAAGAGACGCATTGGTGTATGATACTGAAGGAAAGATAACGTGAGAGGGGAAAGGACGTGAAGAAAATAAATAGGAAAGTTATGTGTGAGCGAGCAAGAGTGAGAGGGACAGAGAGAGAGAGAGGGGGAGGAGATGAAAAAGAAGTGAGAGGGGTAGGGATCTGTATAGTGACGGAACGCTAAAGAAGGAATTGGGAAGAGAGAACAAGAAAGAGAAAGAGCACAGAGGAAGAGAAAAAAGAAAACGTATCTCAAATTTATGTATTAACTTTCGTAAAACTATAAGTACAAAATATCACTAAGGACCGTATATAAGCAGAGCCTTTGGTATCACGAATTTGTTCGGATAAAAGTGGTAACAATGATCTGCTACATGGATAACAATGGCAGGAAACAATGAAATTCGCACAATGGACATAATTTGCTCTTATAGTTGTAGTTTCGTTGTAGCGCCACGTTGTCAACAGTAGTACCGCCATAGTTGACGTGATAAAATGGCGAGCAGATTTCGTGCAGCGGCGCAGAAAGTCGCCGAAGAAGCTGTGGTAACAGCTGACACTCAGGCAGCACCGCAATCAAAACGGCATAGCATCGCGCAGTTATTGAGAACAAATAAATTCAAGAGACTTCTGAACAAGAAGAAAGAGCAGGCAAAGTCTGGCGACGGTTTAGGCAACAAACCTCAACGCAAATTTCTTTTCGATGATAATGCATTGCAGAAAGGTAGGATCATACATTATAGTCAGGACTACGCTACAGTTAAAAATTTATAAATGTGGAAACATGGAAGCCGCTGACGCGTATATAGGTTATATATACTGATGATAACAAAACTGATGCGATGTGGAATTATTAACACAGGTGCTTCTCTGCAAGAGCTATTTATCGACAAGGAAGAAGTTCTAGAGGATTTCAATGAGATTGTTGATCAAGACGACGACCGAGTCGAGACATTCGTGTCTCAGATCATGGTCGGTCATATGATAGAAAGCGTCATCTTCAGGTAAGAGTATATATACTGAAACATTTATGAAACAGACTGAAAACATTTATGTGTGTGATTTGAGTGTGCGGGCGTGTGTGTGCGTGCGTGTGCGTGCGCGCGTGTGTGTGTGTGTGTGTGTGTGTGTGTGTGTGTGTGTGTGTGTGTGTGTGTGCGCGCGCGCGTGCGTGCGTATGTGTGTGTGTGTGCGTGAGTGGTGTGTGCGTTTGTGTGCGCGCGTGTACGTGTGTGTACGTGAGTGAGTGCGCGCGGCGTGCGAGCAAGTGTATTTACATGCATGCACGGACTGGCGCTTGCGACGTCCACCACGCGCTGGTCTCAGTGTTATAAAACACACTATAATACATAGTTACCTTTAATTCAATTCAATTCAAAAAATTTATTTATCACCATAATTTGCAAAAATACAATGATGGCAGACAAAATTATTTTGACCAAGGGTGTTGGGTAGGCGAAAAGACGCATCATTGCCCAGGGTCACTATCACAAATTGTACACAATTTCATTGCGCGTTAAGCAATTGTATCGTATCTCAACCTTGGAGTAATGCTAAATCATTCTGACTTTCATCTGTGATTAGAATGATTACCCAAGCTCCAGCCATAGCTCCACAGCACTGCCATGCTTCAATGTCTGCGCTCTCATAGGGGACGTCATCCTCGTTTCCTAGATCACGGTGAAAACGCCGTCTTGATCGACTGGCAGAGCGGACGAAACGACTATCGGCCGATTACCAGTACGCCTTCAGCATCTTCGACCAGTGCGTGCTCACAGTGTTCACGTGCGAGCTGCTGCTGAAGTGGTATTACGGATTCTCCATCTTCTGGAAGGTCGGCTGGAATATTCTCGATTTCGTCATCATCTCCTGGCGGCTGGCTACTTGGCCCGACCCTTAGTTCTGGGAAGCAGGTATGTTACATCGCCGCTTGGATTTTTACGTGCCTGGATTTTACGTGCGCTTGTGATTTTTTCGAATTGCGCGAGATATAGGCTATGGGGAAATGCGAATGAGGGATCGCCTAACTCGTATTATTATATTATTATTATTATTATTATCATCATCATCATCATCATCATCATCATCATCATCATCATCGCATCCCATCAGAACCCCATCAAAGACATTGCTGCAATAGCGAGATCTCTAAAGCGCTGTGAACGCGACCACTGCCTTATATACGCCTTATAACGCCTTATGTACACTCTTTAACGCTCTTCTTCGCACATTGGCTGCAGTCGGATTTTGCGGATTCTGAGAGTCCTGCGAGCATTTCGTAGTCTGCGCAGCATCAGTGCCCTGGCGGGTCTCTCCATGGTAGTGCAGACGATTCTGCAGTCTATCCCCGACATGGCCAACATTGGCTTCCTTCTCTGTATCATTCTGCTGGTGTTTCTGTCATGGAACGACGCTCTTTGCAGAGGCAAGTTTTGTTATCCCTCTCGCGCGCTATCTCTCCGTTCGAGCGATATCTCTCATCCGCACCTTCTATGCTCTCTCTCTCTCGCTCCTCTCTCTCTCGTCGTCTCTCTCTCTCTCCTTCTCTCTCTCCTCTCTCTCTATTCTGTCTCCTCACTCTTCTCTCTCTCTCTCTGACTCGTCTCGTCTCCCCCCCCCGCCCGCCTACCCTCTCATCTCTCTTCTCTCCTCTCTTCTCTTCGCTCTGCTCTCTCTAGTATATATATATATATATATACATAAATTTTAACAAAAAGCTTCGGCGTTTCCACGTCTCCAATATACTATAAACAGAAAATATACAGGTACATAGCTATACTACACTTATCCTCTAACCCTTCGTTGATCCTCCGTGTTTCTTCTGTGCAGCCGTGCCCAGGTATTGTTGGTACTCTCTCCCACACTGACGCCATGTTTTGCTCTTCCATTCATGTGTAACGGCAAGATGGATGGATGAATAGTTTTCGATAGAATTCAAAAAGGTCGCTATGCGATCATTGCGTGAGCGGAAATCCACACAGAATGCACGACGGGGGCAGTTTCCTTTCATATATTGACATTCAATTCATAAATCGCATCCTAAAAGAATTTCCCTACGAATGCAGTTAGTCTGGTTTTCTGAAGTCGGGCGCTCGGATATTATCATTGGCGGCATGTTCTACTACTTCTTCTGCGCCTATTATGGTGGGCGCATTTGTCTTTCGCAAACCTGGTGGTTGCCGTTGTTGTCACCACCACCTTGAGGCCTAGCCATGACAGAGGGAGAGAAGACAGATGGCCAGGAGGACCTTATTAGGAACGGTACCGGAGGTGAGAGAGAAGCCAGCATGCATTATGCGTCAATATTATTGCCCCACTGAAGAAAAATGTTCAAAACATGATATGGAGTCATAGGACGCTCATTCCGCCTGTCGGGACGCAAAATTTTTTTTTGCCCCACTTGAGTTCCGCGACCCAGCCATCGCGCACCTCCATTCACCATCGACTTCCTCGAAGCAACAATTTGTAAAATGAATACCACACCTGTCCTAACCCTAACCTACCCAACCGCCTCCAAACCACTAATATAATCAACCATATATATAGAACATCATTATTACAAAACACTATGCTATGGTGGTCGGACCTCAAGTGGGAAAAAAATTTCGCGTCGACAAGGTCTTGTTGTCAGAAACAAAATCTTATCATCAGTTTAACAATCTAACTTTTCCCACATAGACCGTTGACAAAAACGTGAGAGTTACGAGTTTCCCATACTACGGTGGCTACAGGTCCGGTTAGTCGATAAAAAAAAACGTGTTTAACGACCTAATGTTAGGACATAATTTTGTTTTCTGACAACGGGTCATAGCTGGCTTACGGAATCGACAAATATGACATTAGTGTGTTATTGAGCGTGTCCTACCATCAGGCTGACAAACACGACAGTCTTGTTGGCTAGCTATTCTAACAGTCGTTGCTAAGAATGCGAAAATTGCTTGGAAATTGATGGCCAGCACAGCGAGTAAACGTACCTAAGTATAGGTGAAACGAATGCTGAAAGTATGAATGACCGGTAGGTTTGGCGGGCAGGTGCCGAGGAAGAAGACAAACTGTACCCTGCTACATTCACTATTCGAAGGTGTTTAGCCAAGGCTGCACATCGAAACAAACGCCTATAATACTCGCCGACTTGAATGGTTTGGTATATGTAGGCAAGGAAAGTATAGTAGCAATATAAATTATTACGCAATAA